CCTTTTTGTGCCAGTCCCGGCTCTGTGTCACTGTGTGTCTGGCGCAGTAATAGGTGCCGCTGTCTGCAGCTGTCCGGGAGTCGAGCTGGAGATAAACTTCGTCCTTCGAGGTGTCCCTGGTGATGGTGACAGGAGGTTTGAGACCTGAGTTATACTCTGTGGACCCGCAATGCTGCGGATAAACCCCATCCACACCAGCCCTTTCCAGGGGGCTGCCAGGCCCAGCTCCAATAGTAGCTGTTGACGGAGACACCAGAGGCTTTACAGGTGATACTGAGGGTCTCTCCGGGCTTCACCGCTCCCGGCCGGTCTGTACCAGCTGCGCCTGGGAGAGAACATCTGGGGGGTGGGGTGGGGGTGAAAAAAAGCAAACGTTATGACCAGAAAAGTCTGTGGCTCTGTCCCTAATTTCCCCCACTACCCGATAGACACTCACAGACCGGGGCATAGAACAGGGAAAGGAAAAGCCACAGAGATTTCATTCTCGTTTGCAGAGATTGAGGGAAATCCCCCAGCGGGCAGGACCGGGCAGTTCTCTGTCTGGGGAGAGACTGGGGCTCCTAGAACCAGGGGTTTGTATTTTACCAGGATCCCCCCCGGGGCAGGGATTTGCATGCGGGTTCCCAGGGTGGGTATAAGAGATGACAGGGCTGAGCGCTCAGTACATGGCGATGTCCCCTTCGGACAGGGGCCCCCTTTACACCCCAGAGAGACCCTGCGCTCAGCTCAGCAGAGCTATAAATTGTTCTGGTGATTCGCCTAGGGCCTTAGGAGCGAGGACAGAAATCTCAGGGTCCGTTCCTAAATCGTCCAGACCATCCCTGTTGCCATTGGGTAAATCCATGTAGTGGCTGTGGGTGCACAAATCCCACTCGTGTTAGTGGGAGGGGGGTGCCCAAATACCCTAGGCGGGTTGGGTAATCTCGCCCTCAGTGAGTCTGGGCCTCAGTTCTTCGTCTGTAAAACAGGGTTAATGAGACTTCCCTGGCTCAGTGCGGATTGTGAGGGTCAAACCCAGGAATGCTTGTATGGTTGTAAAGAGGCAGATGCTCACATAAAATGCAGGAAGAACCAGCAAAGGGGAAGCAAGAGGATTCAGAAAATGAAGCAGGGATTTGGGTAAAGGGGGCCCGGGCCCGGGACGGGAGGGTGAGGGCCAGCTCTCTCTGTCTGGCTCTCTAGCTAAGAGGCCAGGCCGTCTAACTGGGAGAGGAAGAAAGGTTGGATTTGCCCAAGTAACACCAGCAAACAGCTCTCACGGCTCGAGGGAGGCCGGGAAGTTGGCAGACAGGAAAGCGGCAGCTTCTGGGCTGTATCCAAAGGAGTCCTGTGATTGGTCAGGGTCGGGGCTGCCTGGGACACACACTGGATAGGGGGCAGAATATGGCTGGCGGGGATATTAAACCTTCTCCTTCTGGACTTGAACCAGTGATAGTCAAACCTCAGGGGTTAAGGAGCCGAATTAGTGACCAACATTACCCGAAAGAGCCACAGAGGTGTGAATGACGGGAAATGTTTAGTTTGTGTCTACACACTAAATATATTGAATAGATACACATAAATATGTGTATATTGTATTTGTATTGATATTTGTATATCGATAGCTATCAAACCTCCCACAGCGATGGGAACGCGACGTGCCGGTGCTTGTCTGATTGATCCTCCCTGGGGGGCCGTGAGATGGGATCTCTGTGTGTCCGTGTTACCAGGAGCTGAGTGAGGAGACGAGGAATTTTCCCTCCCTGATTTCCACCTCCTAAACCCCTTGTGACCAGTGTCTCACCCTGCTTCTAATGGAGACGTGAGTGTGACAGGGCCCCGAGTGACTCTAGACAATCCGCTTCCCCTTTTTGTACCAGCCCCGCTTTGCTCTGTGTCGCTGTGTCTCTCTGGCACAGTAATACATGGCGGTGTCTGCAGCTGTGAGGGAGGCCAGCTGCAGGGAGAACTGGTTCTTGGAGGTATCTGAAGAGATGGTGGTCCGGCTTTGGAGAGACGCGGCAAACCACTTTCCCCCGTCGTGTGGGTATATACGTGCTACCCACTCCAGCCCTTTCCCGGGGGGCTGCCGGACCCAGTTCCAGGTGTAGCTGCTGCTAGTGATGGAAACACCCGAGACAGTGCAGGTCAGTGCGAGGGTCTCGCCGGGCTTCACCGCCCCCGGGCCAGACTGGACCAGCTGCACCTGAGAGATGACACCTGGGGAAAGAGAAACAAAACATGGAGGAAATTAGCCACCGAACGAATCTGTGCATCTGTCCCCAATTCTCCCGCTGTCCGATAGACACTCACAGGTGAAGGCGGAGAACAAGGAAAGGAAAAGCCACAGAGATTTCATTCTCCTTTTTGTAAAATGAGGGATACTCCCCAGAGGGCAGGACCGGGCAGTTTTGTGTCTGGGGAGAGACTGAGGCTGCTAGAACCAGGCGTTGGTATTTAACAGGAACCCCTGGGGCAGGGATTTGCATGCGGGTTCCCCAGTGGGTATAAAGGGAGGGACACCGCCAGGCAGGGAGCGCTGTCTGTGGGAAGCAGAGTCACACATCCCCTTCCTGTCAGCGGTGGCCCAAAGTCAATTCACCTTCATTGGAGCCCTTCAGGGAAGCAAGGGACTGTGGATAGGGTCCCTACACTGGGGGGGTTTGAATCCAGCCTTCCAGCAGCGCCTGCTGCCGAATGCCCCGGGCAGAGCTGAACAATAGAAACGAGAGAGAGGAGATGTCCAGAGACGTGAGACTCTCCCGGGAATGTCGGATGGGGAAGGAGCCGCAGCTGCGGGGAGCCAGCGGCTGGTTCCAGGCACCACAGTGTGAGGAACCGCTTCAGGGAAAGGGAGAGAGCTGGGCACGGAGGGACGGTGCGGGTTGTGGGCTCTGTCAGAGTAAAGGCCGTGATGGTAGTAACTCAGGGACAGTCTAGAGCCCACGCATGGGGGAAACGCATCGCCCTAGTGTCCGGTGCTTTTCCTGTACCAGAGACACCTGTGAGGGGGAGAGACAGTGTGAGAGAGACACACTGCTGTGCGCTGCTGTGGGGAGTGAAACTTGCTCGGTGTGTAGGTGTGTGTGAGGCTGAACCCAGACAGTCCCTTACACTGGCCTGTAAAGTATCCCGTGACTCCCTTCCAAGCTCTGCGGTTCGGGACATTGCTGAGAAAAGCAGGGAATGGCTCAGGGACAGGCAATAATCTGGGGCCATACACTATGCTCTTTCTGTCAAACGCCGGGACGTCCTCGGAGAAGCTGACAAAATGCTGCTCATGACCCAGAGGAGAAAGAGGACAAACTAGAGTGGAGTAAGGTACCTTTACACTGGCATAACCTCATCCAAAGTAGGCCTTGCACTGTTATAACTACACGGGTGAAAACATTATACTCCGAACTCAAGCAGTTAGATAGATATAAATGGGCCCAGGGAAATGACACTCTCCTGGGAATTTTATTAATTAATGGAGATAGCCCATCTCTTAGAAACGGACGGGACCTTGAAAGGTCATCGAGTCCAGCCCCCTGCCTTCACTAGCAGGACCAAGTACTGATTTTGCCCCAGATCCCTAAGTGGCACCTTCAAGGATTGAACTCACAACCCTAGGGTTACCATATTTTGAGTGTTCAAAAAGAGGACACTCCACGGGGCCCCGCCCCCAGCCCCGCCCCCAGCCCCGCCCCAACTCCACCCCTTCCCCACAATCCCCGCCCCAACTCCGCCCCCTCCCCTGCTTCCCGCGAACATTTGATTTGGGGGAAGCCTGAAGCAGGCAGCAGGTAAGCTGGGGGTGGGTGGGGGGAGGAGGC